CTAGAGAGCTATTATTAAAACAAACAAACAAACCCCTCCACTTATATTCAAAAATTTTATTTAAGCAAAACAATTCTCATCCAAGAGAGGCACTGGTGGCAAAGGGTGGTAGTTATGAGTAGCATTAGACAACAGATAACTGATGTAAATTTGATCAGCTGTGTTACAGGATGAAAATATGTTTATATAGAGCATTCTTGGAATCTAGAGATGGAAAACTAATGCATCACAAGGCAGTGGAAAACATAAGCAAGTTTTAAAGCAGTGAAATTCATTAGTAGGAAGCAATAATGACTAGTATTAGTCAATAAGGAGTTATTACTGGTTCTTAATATTTGGTTCTCTGGTCTTTTCAAGATATACTGAAAATCATTTTTTTCATTGCAGTTTGGTAGAGCTACATGAAAAGCTATAGCTTGTGAAATTTGAGGAGAAGTTAGGAGGATGAAGTGGTGAAAAGCTGCAGAGAGTGCTATAGATTTTTTCTTTCCTTATGAAAGAGATATCTCATGTTGAGAAGGCTGAGCTTCAACACCAAAGTGATGTGGATTGCTAACACTGGTTGGACAATAGCTCCAAAGCTATTTCATATTAAGACTTTGTGAGAGCAAGGAATAAATGTTTACTATGTTAAGGTACTGACATTTTGAAACTGTTTATTATGAGCATTAGCTTATTCTAATAGCCATCTTTCATTGGCCACCAGCCTATTCCCTAGTTAACTGGGTGGTTTTTGTTGGACAAAGTGTGTTGACAGTAGGAGCCAGTGCTTTAAAAACAAGCAGTGAAACCCATCTACTCTTTTCAAAACTATTTACTGAGTGTCTATTATGCACCAAATGATGGGATTATACAGTTATCTTATGACTTATAATGGTTTGTTTTATAATTTTTTGACTTTACCATGGTGCAAAGTGATACACATTCAGTAGAAGCCACACTTAGAATTCTGATCCTTTCCTGGTCTAGTGATATGCAGTCTTGCATCTCTAGAAATGCAGGGCAGCAGCAGCCAGTCAGGTATGCAATTAATGAGGATAAACAAATGATAGACAGGGTACTGTATTACTAAATTGTGATGATTGGTAGGTCAGGGGTACAAAATGCATTGACTTAAGGCATTCTCAATTTACTATGGGCTTATCAGGACATAACTTAAGAATAAGCTGAGGAGCAACTACAAGATTATAAAAAACAATTTTACCCTCAAGGAGCTTATGTCTTCAAGCGAGGAGTCAGATAAAAAATTAAGTCAGCAAACAAAATATTTGCAAGTTAGGATATGTGTTATGAAATTGTAACAGAGGGAAGAGATGAATGAGGAGAGAACAGTCTAATTTAGACAGTGTAACAGGTAGGAAATTTCAACTGAGATATGGAGAAAGGGAAAGCATTTGAGGGCATAAGAGACAAGTTTGAGACACTGAGTAAGATCCCTGTGACCAGGTAATAACAAACGAGAAGCAAGTTGCTAAATATGATTGCAGAAGACAGGCAGATGCAGATCACGTTATTGTAAGGAGTTTGAGCTTTATTCTAAATTCCTTCAGGTAGTATTATCATAATCTTCATCTGATCAATATCACAAAGTTAACCACATACAGATATTCATTTCCTCTTCGGTCTCAACAAACAGAATCTTTTGACTCAGAGGTGGTAGAATGAGACTGGGCCATAAACTGCAAGATACATAATCCTGTGAAGCAAAGCTTTACTGGGGTGAGAGGGAAAGGATCTTCAGCTGAAGGGAGATGACAATTGGTTGAGAGTGGGATCAAGCTGCTCCCAGAACAAAAAGCAGCAAGATTTTATTGATTTATGGACTAAGGCACAGTAATTCCCATTGGCTAAGGGAATGGTTCCAAAATATATTTTTTTCTTGTGACAGACTTGGACCAGCAAGTGATCATGGTCTACTTGTCCTAGAGTTGTTGCATTTTTGTGCAGCTGGTGCCATCATCTGTACAAAATATCCTGGCCTTATGTGTCTGGGTCCCATGATAGGGCTAACATGGCCGAAGACGTCAGTTGCTTGGGATTTTGGGGCTTCTGAAAAAGCACAAGGGTACAGGCAGAAAGGAGCAGACAGGAAAAGAAAATACATACCAGCTACAATGGGCAATAGGCCAAGTTAATCTTATAGTCTTTGCAAAAACATTTTTAAATGATCAACTATCTATATGCAGAACTGAGTAAATCTGACCAAAGGGTTAAGAGAGTAAAGTGACAGACACAATATGCCAAGCTCTTTATCCCATTTTAGTCAACTATCAGATATCTGTAGGCTTAAGTGTCAATGTATTTAGCAAAAGCACCTTTAGGTGCCTGGAAAGGAACCTTGGCAGCTGTTATATCACAACTCACACCAGGGACGTTATCTTACAGCAAAGCTAGCAGGAAGCTAGTACTGTATGCCAGCTGCATGACTTCTAAAACTGATGACTATAATTTACTAAAAGAAAGTGAAACTAGAGGGCTTATTTGGGCTTTTACATTTTAAGTTCTCATCCCATGCAAACATCTGGAGATTTTTATCAGGGTTTCATGGTGGATCTGTTAAAAGAGCATAGAATAGAGACATAACATGTCATGTTGTGAAGGGTAGTATTTTACTGTGCCCAGGGACTTCTTTTGTCTTCCCAGCCTCCTGATCCAGCAGCCGTGGTACCTAAGTGTCTCACTTGTATGTATTTAGCTCCTTTGCCTATTTGCTCTATTCTGAATCTTTGTTCCCAATGAATCAGTCTTGTCAACCAATGTAGAAGCTACTTCAGTATCGTCTATCTTTAAAAAGTACCTAATGATATACTGTATTTCTTGATTGCTTCTGGAAGAACTTTGAAGTGTTCCTTCAATCCTGAGGGTTTAAAAACAATTTGTATGCTGACTACCAAACAAGATCTCTGGGGAGTTCTAATCTTATACTACAGGGATATTCATATATATAAAATTATCACTTTAATACCTAGATGTAAAAGCAAATAATCTTCATTTATGAGTTATCCCCTGGTCTTCCCTATATCAGTACCTAATCTCACCAACCACCCAGATGTTTACATCCACAAACCAGTTGCCATCTGCGAACTCTCCCCTTTTTCTATCCAGTTCATTGGTAAATTCTTCTGTTTTTAACTAAACAATGTGCTTCCATGCTGTCATAGTTGCCTTTCTCTAATGCATTCTCTACACACCAGGCAGAGTGGTTGCTTTATTTTAATACAGAATAGTTTAAAGATATTTTATAAATTGTGGTAAAATAAGCTTTTATTATAAGAAGCATATGCTGTATGCTGCAAACAGAATACATAAAAGAAAATACGCATAAAGAAAATATGATGTTAACACTTTATAGTACAACTCATTTTTGTAGTACACAAATATACACGGTTTTTTTTAATGTATTTAGTACAGGGTCTACAGGGTCTCTCTACATAGATTGGACTCATGGTGATTTTCCTGTTTTCAGCCTCCCAAGTGCTGGGATTACAGGCACGTGCCACCACGCCCAGTCTCACATGTATTTTTTTAAAAAAGAAATAAGATATTGTAACAGAATGGCATTTTATAACTTACTTTTTTTTCCAGCTAATAATCTCTACCTTTCTACGATATAGTTTCATTTTATCTAGTAGTCCCTCTGTACTTAAATCTCAACTGAAAAATGTAATAGTTTGTATAGACCAGGATCCAGTTCAAATGGTAATGCCCTTTACCTTTCTTTGCACAAAGCAGTTGATTTGTTTCATGATAATAAATCGTTGAAGAAATATGACAGTTATCTTCAGGACTATATCACCTTCTAAATTTTCTTGGTTATTTTTTCTGGTACTACCTGTTTGTTCATCCACTGTGTTTATTATGTGTTAGACACAAGCTGAGGATTTTCACCTGGAATATATCAGCAATGGTATTGTGTAGTTCATATTACATTCCATTAGGAGACTATCAGATTGAGCTACAGGGTAGCCTTTTTAAAGGTATAAAAGGTAAATTGTTTAAGTGCCATTTATAGCTTTTTTGCATACTGACAAAACAAATTCTTTTAACTTGGCTCAGAAGGTTTTGAACTATTAAATACCTGCTTAGTCTTTCAACTTTGATTCTGTTCTCTATTTTTTAAAAAATCCTTTGGAACTGGGTACTGAGCCAAGGGCCTCTGGATGTTAGGCAAGAATCTATCTATCTATCTATCTATCTATCTATCTATATATTTTTTTTTAGCGCACAGTATTTTACTTGCAGCACGGTCTCCTTAGGGTGTCCAGGCTGGCCTTGAACTTGCCATCCTTTTCTCTCAGCTTCTCCAGTAGCTGGAAATTACAGGCACGTGCCACTTACTCTCCTACTTTTTAAGTTTTTACTTTAAAATTTTTCTTTACAAAATTTGTTTCTACTTCCTGGCCATAGGAAATGCCGTTTGTCTGAGAGGCTCCCCCTTGCCTAGCAGTGCCTCTCCACTTACAACATGAGGCATCTTTCTAAACTACAAAGAACTGCTCAGAGAACCTGTTCAGGAGACCCTCTTCTTTAATCAACTTGTTTAAAATTTGCTTCTTACGAGAGCGTGAAAATCTTAAATCTGAAGCACTGTTATTTTCCTCTCCTGTTTTATTTTTTTTTTAATCTTACGAGGCTCTTCCCCAAGTCTGTAATCTGCACACAGGCAGAGACGGCGCCAATTGTCTGCACACACTAGACCGTGGATAGGAGCTGAATGAACCATCGAAGACCACAGTAACCCTGGGGCTGCAAGGCTGTGGGCAAGCGGAAGGACACGAACAATGCACAGGTAAGTTGTTCAAATGGAGGAATAAGTTACTCTTACGTGAAAGTGCTGCGTGGACTTACGCCGACAGCAGGGAAGGCGAGCACAGCGCAGAGAAAGTGCGTGCGCCAAGGTGCGCCCAGGTAGGCGGCGTCGCCGCGGTACTCTTACGTGCGCCTGCGCCGGAGTGCGCCTGCGCCTGCGCTCCCGGAAGTGACCAGATCCGAAGCGCAAGCCGAGCGCACGTCCGTCAGCCCGTCGGTCCGCTGGTCCGCCGCCCGGTTCCCAAGCGCCTCGGCCCTCCTCTCCTCGCTGCCCCGCCGTCTTTCTGGCCCAGACTGTGGCCAGGGTGCTCATCATGGCGACATTCATCTCGGTGCAGCTGAAAAAGACCTCGGAGGTGGACTTGGCTAAGCCGCTGGTGAAGTTCATCCAGCAGACCTACCCGAGCGGCGGGGAGGAGCAGGCCCAGTACTGCCGCGCGGCCGAGGAGCTCAGCAAGCTGCGCCGCACCGCCCTGGGCCGCCCGCTGGACAAGCACGAGGGCGCGCTCGAGACGCTCCTGAGGTGGGCGCGGGGCCGGAGGGGGGAGGTCGTCCAGCCCGCCGCCCCAGCCGCCTCCCTTTCTGCTTCCCTCCCTCGAGTCTCGGGTCCGCGGTGCGGCCGAACCGCCCCGAACCGCCCCGCCCCGGCCGGGCCAGGCGCGTAGGTGTGGTTTGCATTCTTTCCCGGTGAGCGGGCCTGACCCTGCTGGCTGGAAATAACCCTGCCTTCTGTCCTGCCCGCCCGCCCCTGCCTTGAGTGGCCCGGGCTCCCTACGTGGGAGGAGTAATCAGCGTCGTACTAATCGCTCTCATTAACTAGTTTTCGTTTTTCTTCGAGACTCTTAACGAAACGCTTTCTCCTCCCCTTTTTGCTGTCACGTCTTAGGACTTACTTCCTGGGCCAGATCTCAATTTCATAATAGTGGTTGGTTTAGGGAAGTGGGGGAATTGGGACACTGAACCAAATAGCTCTTTTAGTGGTTACTACATTGTTAACTTGAAATGATTCATCTTAAGTTCAAAGTAGACGACAGATGGAGAATTCTAAGTGATTGAGATAAAGGTTGAGTGACAATCTTCACATAGGCTGCTTAAAATTAGTTTACAAAAAAAAAAGTAAATAAAATTAGTTTACAACCAAGTGCACATGGTGGAATAAATTTATTTTAGTAAATGTTTATCGATTTCATTTTGTATTTACTTTTATTTCTTGGTTTATTTGAGAACAGGACTGGCCATAGTTCAGACTGGCTTCGGAACTCACTAATTAGCCAAACTGGCCTCCAACTCTCAAGGATCCTCCTGCCTCAGCCTCACAAGTGCTGGGATTACCTAGCAGGTTGCCCTGTGCCAAGCTAACCTCATTTTGTATTTAATGAGAGTTCTTTTAATGGTGGTTAACGGTTAAGAATGACAGAATGTTTGTGTAACATCTTATGATCTTATTTCCTGTGTAATACATTCTCCTTGTTCACTGAAAGAAACATAGTTGTATTAATGTGCAAATATTAGAAACCCTGGTTAAACTAGCTGAAGGTAAGAAAAGACATTTTTGTGCCTGGAAATTTTGAGGAGATTCCTTCCTAAGCACCACTGGTGATTTTGCCTCCACAATCCTTTTTTCTTAGGTGAGTTTTGTTTTTGTATTGAGAAGTGGCCACTAGCAGCCCTTAGAGTAATATAGGACCATAACACTATACTTTTTCCTTAGGTCTGTTGAGGGTCCACTGAGACCTCTAATTTGGTTGGTTTGTAGCCATTTGTAATGGGAATAAAATTCAGTGTTCTTTGCTGAGGTTATCCCTCTTGATTTAACTTCTTCATTCCCCCATCTGGCAAAGCAAAATTAATTTGGACAGGGGAATGATTAGGTTTGCAAAATGAAGAGATTGAACAGATTGCTCAGAAGTTATGACTGCATTATCAGTTTTAAAGCTAAAATTGTTGGGCTTCAGGGATTATTGGTCAGATACTTAAACACTTTTTTGAATTAACCCAGGAATAGTTGGCATTTTCCTTTTTCTATCTCTCAGCTTTTTCTTGCTTTCTCTGTCTCTGCCTCTGTCTCTTGTTACTCTGTGTGTCCGTGTGTCTGTCTCTCTCTCTCTCTCTCTCTCTCTCTCTCTCTCTCTCTCTTCTCTCTCTTCTCTCTCTCTCGGTTTCTTGAGACGAAGTCCAGCTTTCGTAGTCCAGGCTGACCTTCAACTCACCATATAATCATGTTGGCCTTAAATTTGAGATCCTCCTCCCTCAGCTTTTGAGTGCCGGATTTATAGACATGTATCTACACCCAGCCCACTTGGCCATTCATTAGGGTTAAAAAATCTTCAAAACAACTTTTATGTAGACTAAGTAACATTCAGTGGGGATTTTCATTTAGAAGTTGTGTTTTTTGTGGAACCGGGGATTGAACTCAGGCTCTTGTGCTTGCCAGGGAAGCGCCTATTCTACTGAACCATCTCCCCTGCCCACATTTAGAAATTTTCAGAACACAGCCAACAGCCAACTATGGTGTTATGTGCCTGCTTGGGAGGCTGAGGTCGGAAGATCGCAGGTTTGAGGCAGGCCTGGGTAATTTAGTAAGGTCTTATCACAAAAAATAGAAAGGGCTGGGTTGTAGCTCAGTGATAGAGCACACCAGTGTTCAGTCCCCAGTTACATATTTTTAAAAAAGGACTATTTGTGATACAGTGAACCTTAACAATATTTTGTTGAATATATTAGGTTTTGTTTCCAGTTTAGGATCTTCAGAGGCATTTGTTTCGTGATTTTAAAATAATAATGATAGTGGATAATTCAGATAAGCATTCTTCTGGGAGCTTTAGAAGGTCATTCCTTTGTTCATTTCTTTTACTAGCATGAGTGTGGGGACTTTGGTAGAACTATTGTAGAGATGGTCTCTTTGCAATTATATATCTTTAGGCACTTGAGTATATAATCCTCACCTAGCATAGTCATTCAACAAATATTCAGGTTTTCTTTTCTTTTTACTCTTTCAGTGGTTTTTTGTGGGGAGGGGACATGGGATGTGTGGTGCTGGGAATTGAACCTTGGTTCCTGTGCTTGCCTAAGCAGGCACTTTAGACTGCTGAGCTATCTTGCTGGCCGTGGTTTTTTTTTTTTTTTTTTTTAAATCTAATACATTTTGTAATGAAATTGTGTGCAAAAATTCTTTGGGTATCCTATTCTTTTTTTTTTTTTTTTGCGGAACCGGGGATTGAACTCAGGCCCTTGCACTTGCCAGGGAAGCACTTATTCTACTGAGCCATCTCCCCGGCCCTGGGTATCCTATTCTTGAATCAGATATTTCTTGAGTATAGTTAGGATAATTGTCACATAGTTCTGAGATACTCAAATCAAGCAGAATGTGTTATTTTCAAAACTTGTTTGATAAATATATAAAATGTATGTTAATTTATATTTTTAGCTTAATGAACTTCTAAATAACAAACTGAAAAATATGGCTTGATTCCTGAAAAATAAATGCTATGTAGTGTTTGCTGGTGCACAGCTCTGCCTACAGCTCAGATGATTTACTTTTTTATGAGTAACTTCTTATTTTATTTCGTAAAATACACATAAATGTGTATGATGCTAATAGAAATGGTTACTTAAAAACTAATTTATATAACACTTTATAAAATGGCTTTACTAAAAAATGGTTAGAAGGGCTGTGGTACTCAGGGTGATCATGTGGGAATCCTATTGGTTTATTTTGGTTTTGGAAATACACATACAGCATTGTTGTCATTTGTGGTAATGATTTTATTTAGAGAGAAAGCCTTCAGTTTCCTTCCATGAAACTGCCTGGTCAGTTTCCTGAAATTTGTTCAGAATGAATGTCAGTTGAGAATCTCAACAATCATGTATATAGTTTTACCTTTTATCAGTAATATGATATTTGTGGACTGGGTAGATGGCTCAGTGGAATAAGTGCTTCCCTGACAAGCGCAAGGGCCTGAGTTCAATTCCCGGTTCTGCCAAAAAAAAAAAGTAATATATTTGTGTTAGGATTAGGTTCAAAATCTTACATTGTAGATCCTAAATTATCAGGGAGTTAAATTAAGATTTTCATTCTTATGGAGGCTCTAGTAGTTCAGGGATTGTAGTTCTGTGAAGTTCTAATTTAGGGCTCAGACTTCTTTCAGCTCAGTAAAACATAAAGAGTATGGTCCTTGCTCTAATGGCCAGAGTAGCACTTGTACTCTTTTCAGACAGTAGGGGGAAGAAGAAAGAAAGTTATAGGGCTCAGGTTCCAAGTTGTTTTCTGAAAACTGCCCCAATATGTCTTGATTATTTGTTATTGGCCATTATGTAAACCCCCATCTAAGAAAAAGTTTTCATTATGAGTAGCTTACACTGGCCAGAAATCTGAGTTTCCGTTAGTAAGGGAGATGGGATCATCCCTGCTTTGAAGTGCTTGATATTCCTAACAGTTTCTTTTGAGTGAACCTGTCCTTAGGTGGAGGATCTGGGAGCCTGAAGGTTATTTTCATCCACATTGTGTCTTTTCAGTTGCAGGTGGAAAATTCTGTCCTTTATGGTACCACATGCTTCTTAATTCAGGTTCTTGTTGGCTTCCTTAATATGATTGGGCTTGTTTGATGGCTCCCTTCCAAGTTTGTAGGCAATTTAGATTGCAGCTTTTTCAGGTATCACTCACTTTTTCACTTTTTGAAAATATTGTTGAAATCTCCTTTATCCTTGCATGTTGAACTTTTTTGGGAGGATGTTGAACTATGAAGATGCTAAGCTCATGTCTTTTAACACTGAGCTGTTTACCTCGTTTTTGGAGATAAGATTCAACAATGTGTAGTTCAACCTGGACTTGAATTTAGATCCTTCTGCTTCAGCCTCCCCAGTGCTGGGATTACAGATGTATTGTGTCACACACCCAGCCTGAATTACATTTTTAATTTTTTTTTAAGTGGTGTTTTGAGAGGGAGTAGAAAATAATCTTCATTCAGATCTCTTTTGTTTAACAGGAAGAGGAGGCTATCAGCTTTCTAACAGTGGTTGTTTATATTCGTATCAAGAGGTGTATGTGAATTGATTTTTTTTTTTTTTTTTCAATTTTTCCTGCTTGTTGCTACTCACTGACTGTTAAGTTAAATTGCTGCCAGGTATGGTGGCTTCTACCTGTAATTACACCTGCTTGAAGATGGAGGTAGGAAGATTGCAAGCTTGAAGCCAGCCTGGGCAATTTAGTGAGATCTTGTCTCAAAATAAAAACAGAGCTGAGTTGTCATTTAAGAGTAGAATGCGGGGCCAGGGAGATGGCTCAGTGGAATAAGCGCTTCCCTGGCAAGCGCAAGGGCCTGAGTTCAATCCCCGGTTCCGCAAAAAAAAAAAAAAAAGAGTAGAATGCTTGGGCCAGGGATAGAGCTCAGTGGCCTAAGCACCTGCCTGGCAAGCTCAAGGTCCCTAGTTGGATCTCCAGTGAGTAGATTGCATGCCTAGCCCTGGGTTCAATCCTGGTACGGGGCTGGGAGAGGGAAAGAAGTGGAATTCAAACTGAGGGAT